TAGGAGTCTAGTGACTAGGAAATACGTACTGGTGTTTCTTTGCTTTTCCTGATGTAGTACTTAGTGAATTTCTAACTACTTTTTAGCACGATGCTTTTTAGTACTGAATGTTGTCCTCGGCTGAAACTTAGTCTTTTTAGTGTTCTTCTGAAACTAAAAACTGATTTTTTTAGCGTGATAGTACTACCGTTCATGTCTAAGCTGTACTGAGCGTCGAAGGCTACTATTTGCTTTTGGCCTTTATTTAGTCTGCCACTTTTTTGCAAAAATATTCATGTGTTATTTTTTTCTCCATGACTAGTGCTGCGTGGCAGCCATCAAGTTTCAACTTCAAATCATGGATGAACAAAATAGGAAGCTAGTAAACTTGTTGGACGACATAAGCAAACGATGTACTTGATAGACATAGGCAAACTTGTTCGAACCCTGACACACATAGCATAAGGTAGCTGGTTAAACATAACGAAAGCAAACTACAAATCTGAAACAACAATACTAAGGACACACACAGCATAAGGTAGCTGGTTCAACGTAACAAATGTAGACTTTCATGCATCTTCATCCGCGAAGTTGCAGGGTAGTAGGGGTCAGCCTCCCGCTCTTTTGAAATATCCCAACCTGTCATGATGTTGTCGATTGTCTTCCATGACTTGTATGTTGCATACGCATCTATTCCTGCGTACGTGATGAGGTTGTCTGGCAGCGGGCTGTTCCCCCATAGTTTGTGGTCTGCCCTGTTCATCTTCTTCTTCATGCCTTCATAGAATTGGTGGATGACGCCGCCTGCAACATCGGCCAGGGGGTCGTAGTATGTGTTTGTCTTTGGATCTTTCCACTTGCGCTGCATGTCGACGAAGTTGTTGGGGTTGATTTCCAAACCAGACTCCTCCAGCATCCGCTTGTCACCTCCAATGCTGAAACCAACAAATGTGTACAATTTCTCCTCCCGCAGGAAGTCTTTGAGGCGCTTGGGCCTGCAAGGGGGGAGACACACATTTATAGATTAGTCTTCTTTTTGAGGATTTAATTATTCTGCTTTTTTTGTTTTACAAGTGATAATCCATGAGGTAGATGCTTATATATTATGAGTCATGCATGAATGTAGTTCAGAAACTAGTACACAAAGTCCTGAAATTAAATTCAACTACACCATGTTATTTTTTCTTTTTTGCTATCATCGTTGCTTCACCAAATGCTTCACCAAATTAGAGAATCATTTTACCAGAGTCAATGATATATGCGCTGCTTGATTCAAGTTTAGTTTTCTTTTTTGTTGAATAAAAGACCTATACCAGTGCTTGATACATCTTTGTGCATTAATTCTATATCAAGTTCAAAAATTAGTTTGAGAAACATGTGCATCAAGATATGGACCTATACCACTTCACCAAAGATCTTTTAATACATCAATTCTATAAACTATACTAGTGCATCAAGATCAGAATCTATGCTAGTACATCAAGTTCAGAGATTAATTTGGTGCATAAAGTTCAGAATGCTATATACTTTCTTTCAGATGCTAATCTGGTGAAACAATCCACTTCACAGTTTCGGAAATGCATGTAACTTGATAAACATGTAATCGTGCATCCACTTCATAGACTATAATAGTTCATCTAGTTGGGAAACAAGTTTTAATTAAGTTTTTAGTGACTAGTACTGGTACAACAGATGAATGAACAGTAGTATGGGTTACAATGGATGAATGTACTTCAAAAACTAGTAAAGAAAGTTCTGAAATTAAATTAAGTACATCATGTTATTCTTCTTCTTGGATTATACATAGTTTCAGTCAATGTTGTATGTTCTTCATTGGTACTAGTTTAGTCTACTTTTGTTGAAATAGGATAACACAGAACCAGTGTTTCACCAAGTCCTTAGTTTATTTTTTTACGAAAATAACATTAGATCAAATTCAGAAAATACTTCCCTACAAACCACACTAGTACATCTAGTTCGGAAACAAGTGTGATTAAATTTTCAGGATACAGTAGTAATAAAACAGATAAACCATATGCAGGGCAAATGAGTAGGATTTGCTCACCATTTTGTGGCCGCTGCGAAGTGATACACCAAGCAGAGTTCGTCGATGCACAACTGTAGGACTGCCGCCATCTGTGGAGGTTTTTCCTCGTCGGTGTACTCCACATCAACTCCGATGAAGCTCGGATACAAGCCGCCTCCCTTCATCCTGAGCCTACTCATCATCTCGTCGGCCTTGTCTGGTTCGCTGGTGTAGACGATCTCTAGCGTCTCCTTGCCGTGGAGCTCAACCCCTTTGAGCGTTCTGGTGTACTCGCGCTTCTCGCCGGGGACGTAAATGTCGACGAGGTTCCTCCTCTTGTCCGACGTCTCGGCATGATGACGCTTGGCGGATGGTTCCTCAGCCATGGCGTTCCTCCAGCAACTGTGGGCTTTGGAGAGAGACGCTGGAGGTTTGTGTGCAGTGGAAATGCAAGCGGCAATGGTGGTTTGTGGGAACGAGGGAGAGATGGAAGACAATGGGGTATTTTTGTAGTGCGCCGACGGTGGTGTGTGGGAGGCGGTTCGTCGGGGGCGTGTGTGTAGAGGTCGTGGGGGTATTTTTGCAGTGCGTCGTGGCAACCGCCCAGTGGGTGGCGTGGGTGGTGGCGTGGAAGAACTAACCGTCCAAGTTAAATGGTTTTTACTGTTGAACTGACTAGTCTTGTCAAGCTGTACTTATGATCTGCTAAATCCCACTTGCACGTCTCTGCGGTGATGATGATGGCATTTTGCACTGTTTAGGTGACGTATGGATCTGTGATGTTTTTCCGTGTGGATGTTTAAGTATTGTTTTCTAATGAAGCCTTTATACAGTAGTTTATGTAAAAACATTTTTTCAGTGCCCTGGGAGTTGTTGCTCAAAACTTGTACTTATTTTATTTTCATCTATACCAACCTAAGTTAGGCCTTTATAGTTTTTTTATTGTCATTTTTAGTGCACTTATGTTTTAGTACTGTGTGAACTGAATTGTAATTTCAAACAACCCATGGGTTTGAAATTTGATGTCAGAGTGGTGCGAGTGGCCTGACTGATCCTGCTGTTTTAGTACTGATGTCGTATGTATGTTTGAACTGATTTTTTTTATAACTTAGGTTGGGGGTGGGAGTTTGAGATTATTTTACGACCAGATCATTCGTTGTGGTGTGGACAGATTTTATATAAATATGAAATTTAGCATAATTGACAAACATTATATGTTTGAACTTTTAGAGTTTTAGTAGTTGAACTTGTCAGATTTTGTATAAATAGGAAATTTAGCATAAATGACAAACATTATATGTTTGAACTTTTTGAATTTTAGTAGTTGAACTTGTCAGATTTTATATAAATATGAAATTTAGCATAATTGACAAACATTATATGTTTGAACTTTTAGAGTTTTAGTAGTTGAACTTGTCAGATTTTGTGTAAAAAAGACATTTAGCATAATTGACAAACATTATATGTTTTGAACTTTTTGAGCTTTAGTAGTTGAACTTGTCAGATTTTATATAAATATGAAATTTAGCATAATTGACAAACATTATATGTTTTGAACTTTTTGAGCTTTAGTAATTGAACTTGTCAGATTTTATATAAATATGAAATTTAGCATAATTGATAAACATTATATGTTTTGAACTTTTTGAGCTTTAGTAGTTGAACGTGAAAGTAATTTTGAATTATGTTTTTTAAATTATGTACATTTAACATATAGGCTATTAAGTTTTGTTCTTTTTAGAGGTTCATTGTTTTTGTATCATATTTTTTCCTTTTTTCTTGTAGAGGTTAATTGAAAAACATTTTTCTTGTAGTTTATATTTATTTGTCCCGCCCTCTGGTTTGTATACCTGGGCTTATTTGGTGGGGTGTTTTGTTGATGATGTAGGCTATTGGGCCGTTTTCCGGCCCAGATAGCTCGTCCGCGCGCCTGTGCAGTGCGTCGTGCGCGTGCCCTCTAGGTTTAGTCCCACCTCGCTAGTCGAGGGGGCTCCGGACCTGTTTATAAGCGCAGCCGAGGCTCACCAGTCGAACTCCTCTGAACACTTACCTGAGCGCTTATACACGGCGCTCGCTCTCTCTCTTGACCTGTGGGCCCTGGTCGGCGGGTCCTGCGTTGTGCGGATTACTAGGGATTCTCCCACGGGCTCGAGTTCAAGTATCTAGCGTTGTTAGGGCCTGCGCCTGACCTTGGGCGGTCAATTTTTTTGTTTTTTTTGTTTGTTTGAATCTAGTACTTCACTCCTCCAGTAACTTGGACTCATACTTTTTGTTCTAGTTCTTGTCAGTTTTATGTGAGTGTAATATTTTTCATTTGAGCTTTTTGCCTTCTTTTTTGTGTTTGTTTTTGTGATTATTCTCAAGTGTCTTCTGGTGTCATTTTTCAGAACTATGGTACTTGCGTGTAGACTGAGTTGTACTGATAGTGCATTCATAGTAGCTCTTACGGACTGATGCTTCTTTGTACTTTTTATCATAGTAAGTATGTAATGTCCGATCAAGTGTACTGAGTTGTACTGACATGGAACAACGTTGTGTGATTAATTGCATCATAACTAGTACTTTAGAGCAACGACAACGTTCCATTCAGAAGCTACTTTCCAATTTTGAAATGATGGATTAATAACATACAAAGCTACCAAACGAAACTTATATAATGAGATAAGCAAAACATTGTACTTGATGACATAACTAAACTTGTTCAAACATGACAAGCACAACATAATCATACTGGTTCTACCCAACAAGAGCAAACTACTAATTTGAAACAACAAGATAAAAGGCAAGCACAAGTGGAAGTAAAACGAAGGCAGGCTCTAATGTATCTTCATCCCGTAAAGGGGAAATAGGGGCGGTCCTAGAAGTTCTCAGCCTCCCGCTCTTTCGCATATTCCGAACCATCTGTGATGTAGTCAATCATGAACCATGACTTGTACGCGGCGTACGCATCTACTCCTGCGTACTCGATGAGGTTGTCTTGCAGCTCTCTGGTCCCCTACAGTGTGTAGTCTTCCTGCGTGTTGATCTTGTTCTTCATGCCTTTGTACAATGGGTGGATGACGCTGGCTGCAACATTATTCAAGGAGTCGTACTCTTTTCCAGTGTATGGAACTCTCCACTTGCGCTGAATGTCGATGAACTTGTTGGGGTTGATCTCCATACCGGATAACTTCAGCTTCTCTTTGTCGCTTTCAATGCTGAAACCGGCAAATGTGATCAACTTGTCATGCTGCAGCATGTCGGTCAGGCGCTTGGGCCTGCAAGGGCAGAGACATTTTGAATATTAGCATTACTTTGATGTTTGAATTATCCATTTTTGTTTTGTTTTACAAGCGATGAATCCATGAAGTAGTTGTTTATGTAGAATAAACAATGGATGAATGTACTTCAAAAACTAGTAGAGAAAGTTCTGAAATTAAATTAAGTACATCATGTTATTCTTCTTGTTGGATTATACATAGTTTCAGTCAATGGTGTATGTTCTTCATTGGTACTAGTTTAGTCTACTTTTGTTGAAATAGGATAACAAAGAACCAGTGCTTCACCAAGTCCTTAGTTTATTTTCTTACAAAAATAACATTAGATCAAATTCAGAAAATACTTCACTACATCAAGTTCAGAAACATCTTTTTTAATACATAGAGTACATAGACTACTCTATTGTATCAACTTCAGAAACTACACTAGTCGATAACCTTCAGAATTTAATGTTCCACAAGATTTTCCAAATAGTAATACAGTGCATCAGGTTCAAAAATACATTGATAGTATATCTACTTGAGAAAATGCAGTAGTGCATCCACTTTTCACAAACCACACTAGTACATCTAGTTTGGAAACAAGTGTGATTAAATTTTCAGGATACAGTACTAATAAAACAGATAAACCATATGCAGGGCAAATGAGTAGGATTGCTCACCATTTTGTGGCCGCTGCGATCTGGTACACCAAGCATAGTTCTTCGACGCACAACTGCAGGACTGCTGCCATCTGGGGAGGTTCATCTTCGTTGGTGTAGTGCACACCAACACCGACGATCCTACGAAACCTGCCACCAAGCTTCATCCAGAGCCTGGAGATCACCTTGTCGGCCTTGTCTGGTTCACTGGTGCAGACGATCTCCAGCGTCTCCTTGCCGTGGAGCTCAACCCCTTTGAGCGTTCTGGTGTACTCGCGCTTCTCGCCGGGGACGTTAATGTTGACGAGGTTGCTCCTCTTGTCCGACGTCTCGGCATGATGACGCTTGGCGGACGGTTCCTCCGCCATGGCCTTCCTCCAGCGACTGTGGGCTTTGGAGAGAGACGCTGGAAGTTTGTGTGCAGTTGAAATGGAAGCGGCAATGGTGGTTTGTGGGAACGAGGGAGAGATATAAGACAATGGGGTATTTTTGCAGTGCGCCGACGGTGGTGTGTGGGAGGCGGTTCGTCGGGGTTGCCATTTGCAGTGCGTCGTGGCAACTGCCCAGTGGGTGGCGCGGGTGGTGGCATGGAAGAACTAACCGTCCAAGTTAAATGGTTTTTACTATTGAACTGACTAGTCTTGTCAATCTATACTTATGACCTGCCAAATCCCACTTGCTCGTCTCTGCGGTGGTGATGATGGAATTTTACTGTGGCACCAATTCGTATAGTCAAGCTGTACTTATCAGCTGCATAACCCACTTGCACGTGTCAGCGTCGGTGTTGGTGGAGGTCTGAACTCCTCTACTGTCGTACTCGGGACTGGTGATTGAAGTGTAATTGAACGTACCAAATACCAGCGAGACTATGTGTGGTGCTAATGTTTTTTTAAAACAATTTTCGTATTTTTTAAGGATTGTTTATATCAAGATAATCTATGAGTATTTTTTACAGATAAATTAGATTTTCACCAGTACAGGATGTATTATATTTGCATTTTGCTTGAGGTAATTATTTTTATGTACTGATGGTCTTTCTGAATTGGGACTGGCAGGAGCACGCATAGCTTTGTTTTTTCAAAACAATTTTTTTTCAGTCGTTCACTGGTGTGTTTGTGATTACTATGCCTTTTGTACTACCGACTGAGAGTTATCAGTACTGATGTAATACAAGAGTTTAAATTTTTCCTTGACATTTTTGTTTGCTGAGTTACTGGTTGACAGTAGCGTTTTTGCATCAGATATATGAAGAAAAGTTTTTTCAAATTTATTTGTGACTGCATTCAAAAGGATTATCAAATGGTTTAAATAATAATGTCACTGCTTCAGCGGGCACAAATCAGAAATTATATCAGTACTGATGTGTACTCTGCCTTGTACTGCCGACTGAGAGTTATCAGTACTCATGTAATACAAGAGTTTAAAATTTTCCTTGACATATTTTTTTCCTGAGTTACTAGTTCACAGTAGCGTTTTGCGTCGGATATATCCAGATAAGTTTTTTCAAACGTATTTTGTGACTGCATTCAAAATGATTATAAAATGGTTTACATAATAATGTCACTGCTCCAGCGGGCACAAATCAGAAACTAAAAAATAACTTTAGTTCTGATCGAGAAATCGACGATAAAGCTAAGTAGTTTTGGTAACGATAGTGTTTTGTGAAATGCTTCCTCATTGTGTGCTGACGCAACTGAGACTACAAGGGTATTTTTTAGTTGACGCAGCAGGATAACCACTATGTATTGTTCAGTCTTGAGCTTCTCCTAATTGTCCCCGAATGTTGTGCCTTGACGGCGCTCTTTCCAGGTTTAGCCTTGGCAGCTTCATCGTCAGTTTCAGTTTCCTCGCCCCCGACACTGTCATGTTCATTGTCTTCGTCTGATTGGCCGTCATTCTCATCAAACTCTTCTTCTTCATCGTCTTCATTTGATTGCTTGGAACTCTATACCTTGCCCTGTTTCTGTTCAGCTCCACTGACCTCCTTGCGCACTTTGCATGTGCGGGCATTATGTCCGTCAGTTCTGCCACACTTGCGGCAAGTGTAGCTGTTATGTGTGTTGTCTCCATTGGCAGAAAGCTGGGTGGCTCCAATCTGCTTGTTCTTGTTGACAGTGACATCTGTGCGGAGTGGGCATGTGTGGTAGTTATGGTTGCTCACGACGTTGCAGAATCCGCATGCCCTTACCCCGAGGGGTTTGCCGTCCGGGCCAAATTCAACGCGCTTGATGGGGCGTGATGGGTTTTTGGCTGCTGCTTTCGCAGCTTTCGCTGCTTTCGCTGCTTGCGTCTTGCTCTTCGTCCCCTTTGTGTTTGAGAATGTTGGGGGTTTAATCACCCTTTCCTGCTGCTGCTGGTAGGATGTGCTATTGTCATGTCGTTCGCCTACAGCACCATCGAGCTCATGATCTCACATGTGAGTTTGTCGGTGCTCTTGAGTGTGCACACGGGCAAGCTCCGGTTGCTGCTGCTCCTCTTCCTCATTCTCAAACGGGTCAATAGCTCCTATATGGTTCATCTCAGATAATATTGTAGCAATATCCTGCTCAATGGCTTCAATGTCCGCGACACCTTCATTTTCAGTAGAATGCATGGCGTGGAGTTCTTGTTCAAGTTTGTCCATGACGACCCGCGTCCTTGCCATTTGCTCTTGGCTTCTCAAACTTTTCCTTTGCACCCTCATGTTCAGCATCAGCAGTGAGCTTTCAATGCAGTATTGGGATGCCTTGTTTGACGCTACTGTCCTCAAGTCATTTCTGTCAAATGTTGGCTGGATGTTCGGGCGTTTGGTGTATCTCCTGAGTATGTATTTCTCTGGAACGCTTTCAGCCTTAATTGTCTGCATCATGCATAGGACATGGACGCAGAAAAGACCTGTATTTGTTTTTGGAAGAGTAGCATGTTTTTTGTCATTTCATTCGAACAAAAACTTTGCAAAAAAAGTAGTACAGTATGTAACATCTTTTTTGTAGTCCTTACCTGTGTGGTCCCATAGCCTGCACTCGCACTCATATGTTTCTCCCACGGGGTCTGCAACCACCTGGAACGCGTGCTGAGCCCCCACACAGACAGTTTTTGCGGGTGATTGTAGCGCACTAGGTACTTTGTGGGCTCTTCTGTCTTTGTCGCCGTGAAGAGAGTGCTGAGTTTTAGCCTATCTCTGATCTCGATGTACACAGCTCGCATGTATAGCTTTGCCATCTGGGTGTCAAACCCATAGAAGGTCAGCGTGTTTTGTTCCTTCTGCAGATGCAAGAATGATGACCAAATTGTTAGTTTTCTCGCAGGAAAAACTTCTAATAAAGTTTTTACTTTAGTAAGCATGTAATTTTTTGTCTTACGACAAGTGATAGAGCTATACCCGGTTACCCATTGTCTCCTGGTTCTCTGTCTGCCTCCTGGTTTTGACGCAGGAGTTTACTTGGCTGACAAACCGGTGTAGGTTATATCTCTCATCTACGTAGCTATTATTGAGCACATAGTTCATGCTCTCACTTTGCTGTGTGGATGTCATTTTAGCGCAGAAAATTTCTTTGAAGTAGGCTGATATCCATTTCTCATGCTCGTTCCACATGCCCACCATTGTGGCATCATCGTGGAGGTTGTACTTATCCATGAGTCTTTTCCAGGCATCCTCAAACTCAGTTGGCATGAGGGGCCAATTGAGAATTGATGTGAATTCATCCTTAAAGTCATCGTGTAGGAAATACAGGTATGCGAGGTGTTCCCTGTACTTCTTCATAATGTGCCAGCGGCATAGCTTATGTACTGTGTTCTTGAAAACATCTACGATCGCCAAATCCATTGCCGAACACTGGTATGGTAATGAGAAAATAGACTCGGAGTGGTCAGCAGATGGTTGTGCATATATATCAATAGAACTGACACAACATTTTTATTGTGTTACTTTACTTTTATTTTTTGGAAGGGGGTGGTGGTTGGGGGTGGTTTTAGCGGGTGTACCTATGAGGATGCATGTAGGAGCCTTCCTTCTCTTGCAGCTTAAAAATGTCTTGAACAACCACTTGAATGAATCTGCATCCTAATCTCTTATCAGGGCAAAACCAAAGAATGTAGTCTGTAAGTGATTGTTAGTTCCGACAAACACCCCAAGTGGCATATGGTACTTGTTGGTCTTATATGTTGTGTCAAACGTTACGTAGTCCCCGAAGTCCTGATACGCCCCTCGGCAGCTTGCATTGGCCCAGAATATGTTCTTAACTCTGTTGGACTCATCGAGTTGCATGTCACAGAAGAATTCCTTGTTTATAGCTTTCATCTCCGTAAAGAAGTTGACAGTCTTTAGGACATCGTCCACATCATCAATCCTTGAATTCTTTGCTTTCTTGCATATTAAAAGTTCATTGAAAAATGCATGTTGAACTGGCGTCAGGTCATGCGTTGCGTGATATGTTTGTACTGACAGAGGAAAAAAGACGGAGGCGGTTTATGGGAGGAGAACAAGATTGTACTTACAGGTTAATCAGGTCTTTGGCATTCATTTCGAGGAAGTAGCTACCAGAGTCATCACCACCCAGAATGCTCATGATTTGCGTGTGTTCAATGCCTTTGAACTGCAGGTACTTGACGTACTCCAAGATTGCTTTGTCAAAGTTTTTGTGGGAGTGCAAGAAGACAAGCATTTCTGCCGTGAGCTGTAGCTTGTGGTTGTGTTCCCAGACTATCTCTTTCACGACGAATGTTCGATCCTTTTCCTTCTTCAGCCTCATTTTATCGCCGCAGTTAGTTCTGGCTGTCATCTTGTTACGCTGTCTATTTGCTTCAGACACCTTTGATTCATAAATTCCATGGCATGTGCAATAAAGGTAGGCTCTGGTGTTAAACTTGGGGCCTTCCCCGACAGCAAAACCAGCGTGCTTTGCATATACATTGTAGAAGTTCTTACTTTCTTCGAACGTTTCAAACCTCATCTCTAGCCTTGACAGAACATAAGCTTCAATTTCAGGTGGCTGCACACAATGGTGACCAAACAAAAATGTTAGATGGGGTGGTCACAACACCATGGTATGGACTGTGCTTTGTATTTTTTTTTCTATATGGATACTTACATGTGTATAGCTCTGCGCTGCCTCTGGTGTTTGTTGTTCTCCCTGGTTTATGGGCGCCGGTGGTGTCACCCTTGGCACATGCAGCAATGCATCTCTTGTAGGGAGCAACGATGACGAAGATCTCCATCTCTCGTTGTACGGCCGTCTCTCCTCAGATTCATTGCGATGTTGCTCCTGTCTATATGGCTCATATCTTGTACTTTTGAACCTGCTAGAGTGGCCAAAATTTCTGTCTTCTTGACCTGGTCTTCCCGTCGCAACTGCTTTTGCAGCACGGATGATTGATGTTGACGGAGCGA